CATTGTACACACACACACAGGTACACACACACAGTGTACACACACAGGTACACACAGTGTACACACAGTGTACACACACACACACAGTGTACACACACAGGTACACACACACACAGGTACACACACACAGGTACACACACAGTGTACACACACACAGGTACACACACACACAGTGTACACACACAGTGTACACACACACACAGTGTACACACACAGGTACACACACACACAGGTACACACACACAGGTACACACACACAGGTACACACACACACAGGTACACACACACAGTGTACACACACAGGTACACACACACACAGTGTACACACACAGGTACACACAGTGTACACACACAGTGTACACACACACACAATGTACACACACAGGTACACACACACAGGTACACACACACAGGTACACACACACACACAGGTACACACACACACAGGTACACACACACACAGGTACACACACAGTGTACACACACACAGGTACACACACACAGGTGCACACACACAGGTACACACAGTGTACACACACACAGGTACACACACACACACAGGTACACACAGTGTACACACACACACATGTACACACACACAGGTACACACAGTGTACACACACACAGGTACACACAGTGTACACACACACAGTGTACACACACACACATGTACACACACACACAGTGTACACACACACAGTGTACACACACACAGTGTACACACACACACACACATGTACACACACACAGGTACACACACACAGGTACACACATGTACACACACACAGGTACACACACACTAACACACAACAACAACCGCCATTCGCCACTAAGTGGCGGTGACGTCACCACGACGCTTGTGCCAGGGCAAGTGCACCTTGAAGCTACCACGTGAAGTGTCGAACGCCCGCACACACACACAGGTACACACACACACAGGTACACACACATATATGATACTTCAAGGACAGTGCATACATTATCAGAGTTGTGTTTTTTGTTTGCATTACGACTGCAGGTATTGTGGTCTATGCAAACATGACTCCTTGTAAAAAAAGGTGTCAGTTTTGTTGCCAGATAGAAGGGTAAAAAAACAATTATCATATTTTTTTCACTGGCAAATGAGGTTCCAATGGTTCGTGAAATTTTTTTTCCAAAATTTAACACTTTTTAGGACAAAAATATTATATTTAATTATAATATTTTTGTCCTAAAAAGTGTACATTTTTGTTCCAAAATTTTACACTTTTTGGGACAAAAATATTATATTTAATTACCAATTGCTTAATGGTGGCAGACAATCATCTGACCCATAGGTGGCAGCCATCTCAAGCCAGAGGACGAGAGGACTCTAGCCGCCACGCATACAAAGGATTTATAGTGAAAAACTTTGTTTTTACGGGTTATACTTGTTAAATCCTTTATTAAATCCTTTATATTAAGTTCGCGTGCTTGCTTGCTTGCTTAGGACCGTGCAAATCTTTCGGTCGTTTTTTAACCCACTTCCCGTGATCCAATCGAGCTGACAATTTGCACACAGACTCGTTGTGCGAGACAATTAATGTTCGTGAAAAAAAGAATTCCAAAATTTTCCACTTTTTAGAAAGAAAAAATTTTTCATATTTAATTTAAAATACCAATGTGATCAAAATGAAACTCTTACTCAAGAAAAACTGAAATGAATAATAAAATAAAACCGATGCCACGCATATGAAGGATTTATAGTGAAAAACTTTGTTTTTACGGGTTATACTTGTTAATCCTTCCTCGCAAGAGACGCGCAGACAGAGACGGGGAGAGAATTGCAGCTAAAAGCAGAGAGACGACCCCACCACGACCTTCTTCACTGTAACAACGCGGCCTTCTTCACTGTAACAACGCGGCCTTCTTCACTGTAACAACGCGGCCTTCTTCACTGTAACAACGCGACTTTCTTCACTGTAACAACGCGGCCTTCTTCACTGTAACAACGCGGCCTTCTTCACTGTAACAACGCGGCCTTCTTCACTGTAACAACGCGACCTTCTTCACTGTAACAACGCGGCCTTCTTCACTGTAACAACGCGGCCTTCTTCACTGTAACAACGCGACCTTCTTCACTGTAACAACGCGGACCTTCTTCACTGTAACAACGCGGCCTTCTTCACTGTAACAACGCGGCCTTCTTCACTGTACAACGCGGCCTTCTTCACTGTAACAACGCGACCTTCTTCACTGTAACAACGCGACCTTCTTCACTGTAACAACGCGGCCTTTCTTCACTGTAACAACGCGGCCTTCTTCACCTGTAACAACGCGACCTTCTTCACTGTAACAACGCGACCTTCTTCACTGTAACAACGCGACCTCTTCACTGTAACAACGCGAACTTCTTCACCTGTAACAACGCGGCCTTCTCACGTAACAACGCGGCCTTCTTCACTGTAACAACGCGGCCTTCTTCACTGTAACAACGCGGACCTTCTTCCCTTGTAACAACGCGGACCTTCTTCACTGTAACACGCGGCCTTCTTCACTGTAACAACGCGGCCTTCTTCACTGTAACAACGCGGCTTCTTCACTGTAACAACGCGCCTTCTTCACTGTAACAACGCGACCTTCTTCACTGTAACAACGCGGCCTTCTTCACTGTAACAACGCGGCCTTCTTCACTGTAACAACGGCCTTCTTCACTGTAACAACGCGGCCTTCTTCACTGTAACAACGACCTTCTTCACTGTAACAACGCGACCTTCTTCACTGTAACAACGCGGCCTTCTTCACTGTAACAACGCGGCCTTCTTCACTGTAACAACGCGGCCTTCTTCACTGTAACAACGCGGCCTTCTTCACTGTAACAACGCGGCCTTCTTCACTGTAACAACGCGGCCTTCTTCACTGTAACAACGCGCCTTCTTCACTGTAACAACGCGCCTTCTTCACTGTAACAACGCGCCTTCTTCACTGTAACAACGCGGCCTTCTTCACTGTAACAACGCGCCTTCTTCACTGTAACAACGCGACCTTCTTCACTGTAACAACGGGCTTCTTCACTGTAACAACGCGGCCTTCTTCACTGTAACAACGCGCCTTCTTCACTGTAACAACGCGGCCTTCTTCACTGTAACAACGCGGCCTTCTTCACTGTAACAACGCGGCCTCTCACTGTAAAACGCGGACTTCTTCATGTAACAACGCGACCTTCTTCACTGTAACAACGCGGCCTTCTTCACTGTAACAACGCGGCCTTCTTCACTGTAACAACGCGACCTTCTCACTGTAACAACGCGCCTTCTTCACTGTAACAACGCGCCTTCTTCACTGTAACAACGCGACCTTCTTCACTGTAACAACGCGGCCTTCTTCACTGTAACAACGCGACCTTCTTCACTGTAACAACGCGGCCTTCTTCACTGTAACAACGCGACCTTCTTCACTGTAACAACGCGGCCTTCTTCACTGTAACAACGCGACCTTCTTCACTGTAACAACGCGGCCTTCTTCACTGTAACAACGCGGCCTTCTTCACTGTAACAACGCGGCCTTCTTCACTGTAACAACCGCGGACCTTCTTCACTGTAACAACGCGGCCTTCTTCACTGTAACAACGCGGACCTTCTTCACTGTAACAACGCGGACCTTCTTCACTGTAACAACGCGGCCTTCTTCACTGAACACGCGGCCTTCTTCACTGTAACAACGCGACCTTCTTCACTGTAACAACGCGACCCTTCTTCACTGTAACAACGCGGACCTTCTTCACTGTAACAACGCGGCCTTCTTCACTGTAACAACGCGGCCTTCTTCACTGTAACAACGCGACCTTCTTCACTGTAACAAACGCGGCCTTCTTCACTGTAACAACGCGGCCTTCTTCACTGTAACAACGCGGCCTTCTTCACTGTAACAACGCGGCCTTCTTCACTGTAACAACGCGGCCTTCTTCACTGTAACAACGCGGCCTTCTTCACTGTAACAACGCGACCTTCTTCACTGTAACAACGCGGCCTTCTTCACTGTAACAACGCGGCCTTCTTCACTGTAACAACGCGGACCTTCTTCACTGTAACAACGCGGACCTTCTTCACTGTAACAACGCGGCCTTCTTCACTGTAACAACGCGGACCTTCTTCACTGTAACACGCGGCCTTCTTCACTGTAACAACCGGGCGACCTTCTTCACTGTAACAACGCGACCTTCTTCACTGTAACAACGCGGCCTTCTTCACTGTAACAACGCGGCCTTCTTCACTGTAACAACGCGGCCTTCTTCACTGTAACAACGCGCCTTCTTCACTGTAACAACGCGGCCTTCTTCACTGTAACAACGCGCCTTCTTCACTGTAACAACGCGGCTTCTTCACTGTAACAACGCGGCCTTCTTCACTGTAACAACGCGGCCTTCTTCACTGTAACAACGCGGCCTTCTTCACTGTAACAACGCGACCTTCTTCACTGTAACAACGCGGCCTTCTTCACTGTAACAACGCGGCCTTCTTCACTGTAACAACGCGGCCTTCTTCACTGTAACAACGCGGCCTTCTTCACTGTAACAACGCGGCCTTCTTCACTGTAACAACGCGGCCTTCTTCACTGTAACAACGCGGCCTTCTTCACTGTAACAACGCGGCCTTCTTCACTGTAACAACGCGGCCTTCTTCACTGTAACAACGCGGCCTTCTTCACTGTAACAACGCGACCTTCTTCACTGTAACAACGCGGCCTTCTTCACTGTAACAACGCGGCCTTCTTCACTGTAACAACGCGACCTTCTTCACTGTAACAACGCGACCTTCTTCACTGTAACAACGCGGCCTTCTTCACTGTAACAACGCGGCCTTCTTCACTGTAACAACGCGGCCTTCTTCACTGTAACAACACGGCCTTCTTCACTGTAACAACGCGGCCTTCTTCACTGTAACAACGCGACCTTCTTCACTGTAACAACGCGGCCTTCTTCACCGCAATACGCCGATGAAGCCACGCCCCCCGTGACGTCACGGCCCCGTTGCCATAGCAACCCCGGGGTACCGCAGAGGAGCGTTGCCGTGACAACGCGGCCTAGTCGGGCAGGCTCCGCCTCTCAACCCCGTCACTTTGCCGCCTCCCCGCGTCTATTTCGGACCTCAAAGCGGCAGATTTCGACGCTGATTGTGACCGCGAGCGTCTCCCGCGGCGACGGGGCGAGCCCGAGGCACGAAGAGGTGGAATGTCTTCGCCCGCAGAGGTGCGGCAGGCGGGCAGGCCGGCTAGGCGAGGCGTAGGCTTCATCACTCCGAGGTAGGCCTCCGTGTTAAACGATTTTAATTTTAATTGTTTTATAGCGCCCGCTGCTTATTTAGTTATTTATAGTTGTGTGTTGTTGTTGTTCATTTATTAAGGTTGTTTCATTGCTTTGGTCCTGATTTTGGGGAGATTAGCTGCGCTGAAAAAATGCTGCATTGTTACGTAACCGATATTGAACGGGTGATTACGTAATCGTAAAAACACGTTTCATTAACTTATTTTTTAAAAGAATAATTTTTTTAAACTGTTTTACACTTTATACTATTAGGTTTTTTCGGTAAAGTCACGTAGGGAAAAATAATAATAATAGAAATAACAATAAAATATTTTATTTCTAATAAAATGATAGAAATAAAATAATGTATTCTTATTTCTATTAATTTTTTTCCTTATTTATTTTTAAGCAAATAAATAATAAGAATAATAGAAATACTAATGAAATATTTTATTTCTAATAGAATAATATAAATAAAATAATTAATATTTCTATTAATTTTTTTCCTTATTTATTTTTGCCTACGCGAATTTACCGAAAAAATCTAAGAGTATGAATCGTTGCAGTCACGAAAACTTAAAATCTAGAATGTTTTACACTTTGTGTGAATGCTTATCGGTGTGTAAGCTCTATCTTGATGTTATGCGTAAGCTCTGTTAAGAACGCTGCCCTAGAATGGAACTAACGCACGAATTTTGTGAATATCAACAATTACCTCGGACTATTAAAAAATGCCCTCTTGATTATAGATTTCTTTACAAACGTTGTATTTGTGTGTATATTAATGTGTCTATGAGTGGTTGTGTGTGTGAGTGTGTGAGTGTGTGTATCTATGAGTGTGTGTGTGAGTGTGTGTGTATCTATGTGTGTGTGTATCTATGTGTGTGTGTGTATCTGTGAGTGTGTTTATGAGTGTGTGTATCTGTGAGTGTGTTTATGAGTGTGTGTATCTGTGAGTGTGTGAGTGTATCTATGAGTGTGTTTATGAGTGAGTGTGTATCTATGAGTGTGTGAGTGTATCTATGAGTGTGTTAATGAGTTTGTGTGAGTGTGTGTGAGTGTGAGTGTGTCTATGAGTGTGTGTGTGTGTGAGTGTGTTTATGAGTGTGTGTGAGTGTATCTATGAGTGTGTGTGTGTGTGTATCTATGAGTGTGTATCTGTGAGTGTGTTTATGAGTGTGAGTGTGTTTATGAGTGTGTTTATGAGTGTGTGTATCTGTGAGTGTGTTTATGAGTGTGTGTGAGTGTGTTTATGAGTGTGTGTATCTGTGAGTGTGTTTATGAGTGTGTGTGAGTGTGTTTATGAGTGAGTGTGTATCTATGAGTGTGTGTTTATGAGTGTATGAGTGTGTTTATGAGTGAGTGTGTATCTATGAGTGTGTGAGTGTATCTATGAGTGTGTTTATGAGTGTGTGTGAGTGTGTGTGAGTGTGTGTGTATCTATGAGTGTGTGTGTATCTATGTGTGTGTGAGTGTGTTTATGAGTGTATATATGAGTGAGTGTGAGTGAGTGTGAGTGTGTGTGTATCTATGAGTGTGAGTGTGTTTATGAGTGAGTGTGTGTGAGTGTGTTTATGAGTGTGTGTCTATGAGTGTGAGTGTGTTTATGAGTGTGAGTGAGTGTGTGAGTGTTTATGAGTGTGTGTATCTGTGAGTGTGTTTATGAGTGAGTCTGTGTGTGAGTGAGTGTGTGTTTATGAGTGTGTGTCTATGAGTGTGAGTGTGTTTATGAGTGTGAGTGAGTGTGTGAGTGTTTATGAGTGTGTGTATCCGTGAGTGTGTTTATGAGTGATTGTGTGTGAGTGAGTGTGTTTATGAGTGTGTATATGAGTGTGTATATGAGTGTGTATATGAGTGTGAGTGAGTGAGTGTGTTTATGAGTGTGTATATGAGTGTGCATATGAGTGTGTATATGAGTGTATCTATGAGTGTATCTATGAGTGTGTATATGAGTGTGAGTGAGTGAGTGTGTGAGTGTGTATATGAGTGTGAGTGTGTGAGTGTGTATATGAGTGTATCTATGAGTGTATCTATGAGTGTGTATATGAGTGTGAGTGAGTGTGTGAGTGTGTATATGAGTGTGAGTGAGTGAGTGTGTGAGTGTGTATATGAGTGTGAGTGAGTGAGTGTGCTTATGAGTGTGAGTGAGTGAGTGTGTGAGTGAGTGTGTGTGTGAGTGAGTGTGTGAGTGTGTATATGAGTGTGAGTGAGTGAGTGTGTGAGTGTGTATATGAGTGTGAGTGAGTGAGTGTGTTTATGAGTGTGTGTGTGTGAGTGAGTGTGTTTATGAGTGAGTGTGTGTGAGTGTGTGTGTGAGTGTGTGTATCTATGAGTGAGTGTGAGTGAGTGAGTGTGTTTATGAGTGAGTGTGTGTGACTGTGTGTGTGAGTGTGTGTATCTATGAGTGAGTGTGAGTGAGTGAGTGTGTTTATGAGTGTGTGTATCTGTGAGTGTGTTTATGAGTGTGTGTATCTGTGACTGTGTGTGTGAGTGAGTGTATCTATGAGTGAGTGTGAGTGAGTGAGTATATGAGTGTGAGTGAGTGAGTGTGTTTATGAGTGTGCGCCCACCCCCTGGTAGCTGCTCACTAACAGCACTTGCCCCAACAGTGTTTGCAGGCTACACGGGGGAGCTTTGTCTTGTGTTTGACACTGCAGCGCTATTACGCATTGCGGCGTTGCCAGCCGTAGAAACTCAAGAAACACACAAACTCACATTCATACACATACATACACACATACTCATTCATACACACACACATACACACATATACACACATACTCATTCATACACACTCATTCATACACTCATACATACACATACACACACACACATTCATACACACATACACACTCACATTCATACACACACACACATACACACACTCATACATACACACATACACACTCACATTCATACACACACACATACATACACACACACATACACACATACATACATACACACACACATACACACTCATTCATACACTCATACATACACACTCATTCATACACTCATACATACACATACACACACACACATACACACACACATACACACACTCACACATACACACATACACACACATTCATACACACTCACACATTCATACATACACACACATTCATACATACACACACACTCATACACACATTCATACATACACACACTCATATACACACACACATTCATACATACATACACATTCATACACACACTCACACATACATACACATACATACATACACATTCATACATACACACACATACACATACATACACACACATACACACACTCATACACACACTCATACACACTCATACACACACTCACCCACACAAGACAAAGATCCCCCGTGTAGCCTTAACAGACTGTAGGGGCAAGTGCTGTTAGCGAGCACCTATGAAGGCTGGCACGGCACACGAGGGGGTGGGTGGCCAGCACCACGCCCGACCGCCTTTGTCTCTCCAGTGATGATGTTTACACAACGCACCAGGTACTCATTTGAGGTTGAGTCGACCTAGGGGAGGCCCAGGATCGGTTCAGATAATGGTCACAGGTGGGAATCGAACTCGGGTCGCCAGGTTCATTGCGCAGCGTAGCGCTAACCGCTACACTCCGATGTGAAGCTTCTTTCGTGACTGCAGCAGGGATTCATCTTCTTGGTTCTTTCGGTAAAGTCATCACGTAGAAGGGAAGTAATACAATAATAGAAATAAAATATAGTAAAATACAATTCTCACGACGTTTCGGCCACAACGCAAGCAGCCGTCCTCAGGTGAAGAACAGGTCTGTCGTGAAGACAGCGTCTGAATGAGACGCTGTCTGTCTGAATGAGACGCTGTCTTTCCGACAGACCTGTTCTTCACCTGAGGTCTGTCGGAAAGACAGCTGTCTTAACGTGCACCTAGCCTGGCACAAGCTGTCTTTCCGACAGACCTCAGGTGAAGAACAGGTCTGTCGGAAAGACAGCGTCTGAATGAAACAGCACCAGGCTTGGCAGCGTCTATTTAAGCTGCTGGGTTGGAGGGGGAAGGGCGCCTTGACAAAGGAATTTGCATATTTATGCTAAATTCCTCTTGATATGCACATTCTTTTGTCAAGGCGCCCTTCCCCCTCCAACCCAGCAGCTTAAATAGACGCTGCCAAGCCTGGTGGTGTTTCATTCAGACGCTGTCTTCACGACAGACCTGTTCTTCACCTGAGGACGGCTGCTTGCGTTGTGACCGAAACGTCGTGAGAATTAGTATAATGTTTTATTTTTATTATTTTATTACTTCCCTTCTACGTGACTTTAACGAAAGAACCAAGAAGATGAATCACTACACTACCGCGCCCCACTGGTACACACACAGACCCCCCCTCCCCTACCTCCACCTCCTCCTCCAGCAGTGGATAAAGAATGCCTGATGTTGGATGGTGACCTCTGGGTGAGCCACATTCAAGTTCATGTATTAGGTGTAGCCCTGTGAGCCATTCGGCTCTTGAATCGGGTGCAACTGCAACAAACAAAAAACATCTTAAAGTGAATATGTGACTGAGTGCAAACAGAAAATCCAAGAAAAGACAGCAAAATATTGCAGAAAAAATCAACGCTGTGTGCAAAAATCCCAGTGGGATGCAAGTCAAACAACAACAACAACAACCACAAGACAACTTAGATTAAGGCCATCAGTCTAACTCTGTACTACAACAACACAAACAACAACAACCACAAGACAACTTAGATTAAGGCCATCAGTCTAACTCTGTACTACAATAAACAAACATGGCCAAACCAAAACAACTTTTGAAAATCACCAAAATAAAGCCATAAAAGTCTAACAACAACAACCACAAGACAACTTAGATCAAGGCCATCAGTCTAACTCTGTACTACAACAAAACAAACATGGCCAAACCAAAAAACTTTTCGAAATCACCTAAATAAAGCCACGAAACCAATGAAACATGACCTACCCCACCTCTCCCTGTGTGTGCATCTCGCCTGCCGTGTCTCCCGGAGACAGCGGAGACAGCGGAGACAGCGGAGACAGCGGAGACAGCGGAGACAACGGAGACAGAGGAGAGAGACGTGGACTGCAGCCGTCGGACACCGCGACCCAGCGGAGACACTTGGGGGACAACGGGTGAGACGGAGAGAGACAGCGTCTCTCGTGTCTACTCCGTGTCTCTACGTGTCTCACGTGTCTGTGTGTGTCTCCCGTGTCTCTGTGTGTCTGTGTGTGTCTCCCGTGTCTCTGTGTGTGTCTCACGTGTCTCCACGTGTCTCTACGTGTCTACTCTGTGTGTCTCCACGTGTCTGTGTGTGTCTCACGTGTCTCCACGTGTCTCCACGTGTCTCTACGTGTCTACTCTGTGTGTCTCCACGTGTCTGTGTGTGTCTCCCGTGTCTCTGTGTGTCTGTGTGTGTCTCCCGTGTCTCTGTGTGTGTCTCACGTGTCTCCACGTGTCTCCACGTGTCTCTACGTGTCTACTCTGTGTGTCTCCCGTGTCTCTGTGTGTGTCTCCCGTGTCTCTGTGTGTCTGTGTGTGTCTCCCGTGTCTCTGTGTGTGTCTCACGTGTCTCCACGTGTCTCCACGTGTCTCTGTGTGTCTGTGTGTGTCTCCCGTGTCTCTGTGCGTGTCTCCCGTGTCTCTGTGTGTGTCTCACGTGTCTCCACGTGTCTCCACGTGTCTCCACGTGTCTCTACGTGTCTACTCCGTGTGTCTCCACGTGTCTGTGTGTGTCTCCCGTGTCTCTGTGTGTCTGTGTGTGTCTCCCGTGTCTCTGTGTGTGTCTCCCGTGTCTCTGTGTGTGTCTCCCGTGTCTCTGTGTGTGTCTCCACGTGTCTCCACGTGTCTCCACGTGTCTCTACGTGTCTACTCTGTGTGTCTCCCGTGTCTCTGTGTGTGTCTCCCGTGTCTCTGTGTGTCTGTGTGTGTCTCCCGTGTCTCTGTGTGTGTCTCCCGTGTCTCTGTGTGTGTCTCCCGTGTCTCTGTGTGTGTCTCCACGTGTCTCCACGTGTCTCCACGTGTCTCTACGTGTCTACTCTGTGTGTCTCCCGTGTCTCTGTGTGTGTCTCCCGTGTCTCTGTGTGTCTGTGTGTGTCTCCCGTGTCTCTGTGTGTGTCTCCCGTGTCTCTGTGTGTGTCTCCCGTGTCTCTGTGTGTGTCTCCCGTGTCTCTGTGTGTGTCTCCACGTGTCTCCACGTGTCTCTACGTGTCTACTCTGTGTGTCTCCCGTGTCTCTGTGTGTGTCTCACGTGTCTCTGCGTGTGTCTCCGCGTGCCTCCGTGTCCCTGTGTCCCCGTGTCTCTGGGTCACGGCCCACAGTGGTAAATATCTGAGCTGGTCTTGAGTCTCACCTAGATCCACTCGGCCTTAAATGAGTACCTAGTCCAGTATCTATCACACGTCAGCACTGGGGAGATAAAAGGGTCCTTGCCGTTTCATAGGTGCTACTTGTTACCAGCACTTGACCCAAGAGCCGGTGTGGGCTACACGGGGGACCTTTGTCTGTGTCTGTGTGTGTCTCAGCCAGTGATGGCATCAGCTGTATTTAAAGATTCCTCATTAGCCAGGCGGGGTAGGGTTACACTCAGAGACACACACACAGATACACAGACACATACACAGAGACACAGAGACACTCACAGACACACACAGAGACACACAGACATACACACAGAGACACAGACACACACAGAGACACACACAGAGACACACACAGAGAGAGACACAGAGACACTCACAGACATACACACAGACACACAGACACACAGAGATACACAGACACACAGACACACAGACACACAGACACACACACAGACACAGAGACACTCACAGACACACACAGACACACACACACACAGACTCACACAGACACACACACAGAGACACACACACAGACACACACAGAGACAGGGTAGAGTTACACTCACAGAGACACACACACAGACACACACACACACAGACACACACAGACACACACAGACACACACACACACAGACACACACACACACAGACACACACACACAGACACACACAGAGACAGGGTAGAGTTACACTCACAGAGACACACACACAGACACACACACACAGACACACACAGACACACACAGACACACACACACACAGACACACACACAGACATACACACAGACACACACAGACACACTGAGACACACATGGACACACACAGAGACACACACAGAGACACACACACACACAGAGACACAGAGACAGACAAATCCACAGACACACACAGACACACACACAAAGCCACAAAGACAGACAAATACACAGACACACACACATATGGACACAACAACAACCGCCATTCGCCACTAAGTGGCGGTGACGTCACCACGATGCTTGTGCCAGGCCAAGTGCACCTTGAGGCCACGTGAAGTGTCGAAAGCCCGCTGGCAGGAGGTCACGGGGCAGACCCAGGTGCCACTGGTCGACTGACCGAGATGACCGAGATGACTGGCTGATGCACCACCTGTGCCCCCTACTGTGCCAACTTGCTGTGCTTTAGCCACCCGGCGCTCCGCTCGTTGTTGTGAGCGTCGCTCCTCCGCCCTCCGTTGTTGTTGGAGGGCGACTGCCTCCAACTGCCCAGTAGCGTCCTTCACGAGCCTCCTCCACTGAGGCCGATCTTGACACCGCTGGTACCAGTCATCGGCAAGTCCACTCAGCTCCACGTCCTCCTGTACCACATCACTCCATCTCTTCTCCAGCCCGTGCCGCGCCCGTCTAGCCCCCTCGATCCGGCCGAACAAAAGCTGTTTAGGCATGCGGTGGCTGGGCATGCGGGCTACATGGCCCAGCCAACGCAGCCTTGCCTGCCGGAGGAGCTCACTGATGGGACTTTGCCCAGATATGGACACACACAGACACACACAGACACACACACATATGGACACACACAGATACACACACAGACACACACAGACACACACAGACACACACACAGACACACACACACACACACCGAGACACAGAGACACACACACACACAGACACACACACAGACACACACACAGACACACACACAGACACACACACAGACACACACACACACAGACACACACACAGACACACACGGAGACACACACACAGATACACACAGACACACACACAGACACCACACAGACACACACACAGACACACACACAGACACACACACACACAGACACACACACAGACACACACGGAGACACACACACAGATACACACAGACACACACACAGACACCACACAGACACACACACAGACACCACACAGACACACACACAGACACACACAGAGACACACACACACACTCGGAAACACACAGAGCCAGACTAAGGCTGCCATACGGTTCAGTGTTAATCACTGAAACTCGCAGACCCAGACTAAGGCTCTCAGAGGGTCATGGTGACGAGATGTTAACTGCCTAGCCTGATGTGTAGCAGAGGTCCCAACCGGGTACCCGATACCCGTACCCTACCCGATACCCGTACCCTACCCGATACCCGTACCCTACCCGATACCCGTACCCTACCCGATACCCGGCTACCCGTACCCGGCTGGGTATGGGTACGGGTACCAGTTTGCGACCCTGGTGCGGCCGGGTACGGGTAGGGGTAGGGTACGGGTAGGGGTAGGGTACGGGTAGCCGGGTAGACCGTGAGTCACTGGTGAGTCACCGTTTGTCACTCATTTCCCAACGTCTTGTCTCTTCTCACAATTCAAGTTGCTAGAATCAACCCACCCGCGCCTGCAACGTGGCTTCATCCCAGAGGTCGCAATCGGGTACCCGATACCCGTACCCTACCCGTACCCGGCCGGGTACGGGTAGCCGGGTACGGGTAGCCGGGTATCGGGTAGGGTACGGGTAGGGTACGGGTATCGGGTAGGGTACGGGTAGGGTACGGGTAGGGTACGGGTATCGGGTAGGGTACGGGTAGGGTACGGGTAGGGTACGGGTATCGGGTAGGGTACGGGTAGTGTACGGGTAGGGTACGGGTAGTGTACGGGTAGGGTACGGGTATCGGGTAGGGTACGGGTATCGTGTAGGGTACGGGTAGGGTACGGGTACGGCCGGGTACGGGTATCGGGTACCTGTTTGTGACCCTGGTGCGGCCGGGTACGGGTACGGGTAAGGAATGAAAACCTGTTTGCGAGCTCTGTCAGAGGGTCACGGTGGAGAGATGTTAGATGCCTCACCTGGTGTGTAGCAGGGTTCGTAGGTCCGATCCCAACCTTGACGATGCCTCTTGTAGATTGGGAATCTGTGTCTCCTCTGTCTCCCTCCCCTCGTGGTCGGGTGAAAACCTCTCCAAGTCCTTCAGTTTTTAAATCCTTTATATTAAGTTTGCTTGCTTGCGTGCTTGCGTGCTTGCTTGCTTGCGACCGTGCAAATCTTTCGGTCGTTTTTTAACCCACTTCCCGTGATCCAATCGAGCTGACATTTTGCACACAGACTCGTTGTGCCAGACAATTATTGTTCGTGAAAAAAAATTCCCAAAATTTTACACTTTTTAGGCAAAATTTTTTTTTTTACATTTATTCAAATAGAACGCATTCATGGCTTTGGCTGAACGTCACAGTGTAAGAGCCCAGAGCGTAACCCCTCCACAAGCTGTGGCGGAGTAGCGCAGTTGGTAGCGCCCTCGCTTCCCATGCCAAAGGTCGCGGGATCGATCCCCGCGTCCTCCGCAGGCGAATATATTTTTAAATCGTTTATATTAAGTTCGCTGCCACGCATATAAAGGATTTAGAGTGAAAAACTTTGTTTTTACGGGTCACACTTATTCCCTCCACATTTTAGAAGCGACATCACACGCTCACGGTGTTGTGCCGCTGTGCATGCCACTTTGTCGAGATGTCATTTTCATCTTCTTGGTTCTTTCGGTAAAGTCGTCACGTAGAAGGGAAGTAATACAAATCTTCAGGTGATTGCGATTGCTTGGGTTGCAGTCGGAACGTCGTGAGAATTTTATTGTTTAATGTTTTTTAACATTTTATTATTTCCCTTCTGCGTGACTTTACCGAAAGAACCAAGAATGTGATTGGCTGCTATAGTGATAGGTTTTTACCCTTTCAACTGGTACAACATCTGACACCTTTATACAAGGCATCATGTTTGCAATAACCACAACACAAGCAGTCAACATGCAAACAAAAATAAATAATAAAATGAAAAAAATTTAACATAATAAGATGCAATTCTCACGACGTTTCGGCCACAACGCAAGCAGCCGTCCTCAGGTGAAGAACAGGTCTGTCGGAAAGACAGCGTCATTCACATCATCAACATCATCATCATTAACATCATCATCAACATCATCATCAACATCATCATCAACATCATCAACATCAACAACATCATCAACATCATCATCTTTTTTTTTCGGATTTAAAGCTTCTTTCGTGACTGCAGCAGGGATTCATCTTCTTGGTTTTTTCGGTAAAGTCACCACGTAGAAGGGAATTAATAAAATAATAAATATTAAACATTATAAAATACAATTCTCACGACGTTTCGGCCACAACGCAAGCAGCCGTCCTCAGGTGAAGACCAGTGTCTGTCGTGAAGACAGCGTCTGAATGAAACGCTGTTTGTCTGAATGAGACGCTGTCTTTCCCGACAGACCTGTTCTTCACCTGAGGACGGCTGCTTGCGTTGTGGCCGAAACGTCGTGAGAATTGTATTTTACTATGTTTTATTTCTATTATTTTATTATTTCCCTTCTACGTGACGACTTTACCGAAAGAACCAAGAAGATGAATCCCTGCAGTCACGAAAGAAGCTTTAAATCCGAAAAAAAAAGATGTAGATGATGATGTTGATGATGATGTTAATGTTAATGATGATGTTAATGTTAATGATGATGTTGATGATGATGTTGATGATGATGTGAATGAGACGCTGTCTTTCCGACATCCCTGGTCTCCACCTGAGGACGGCTGCTTGCGTTGTGGCCGAAACGTCGTGAGAATTGTATTTTATTTTGTTTTATTTTATTATTTTATTATTTCCCTTCTACGTGACGACTTCACCAAAATAACCGAGAAGATGAATCCCTGCTGCAGTCACGAAAGAAGCTTTACATCCAAAAAAAAATATGATGATGTTGATGTTGATAATGTTGATGATGATGATGTTGATGATGTTGATGATGTTGATGATGATGTGAATGATGCTGTCTTTCCGACATCCCTGTTCTTCACCTGAGGACGTCTGCTTGCGTTGTGGCCCAAACGACGTGAGAATTGCATCTTATTATGTTTTATTTTTATTATTTTATTAATTTCCTTCTACGCGATGACTTTACCGAAAGAACCAAGAAGATGAATCCCTGCCGCAGTCACGAAAGAAGCTTTACATCGAAAATTAAATTCCTTGTCTGCGCGAACTTTCACGGCGAATCAAACCCTTTCTGACTCTGATTCTGACCATTTTGTGTCTCAGTCTGCCGGGACTGCTGCAGCGTCTGGCCAGGAGCTGGGGGGGCCGGGGCCCCCTAGGGAGTCTTGGGGGGGGGCCCCAGTTGAGCAGGGGCGGTGAGGGGCCCCCCCAGGATCTCACGGAGACACGGAGCGTCTCAGCAGAGATCCGGCACAGCCTGAGAGAGCAAGGTGAGTGTACGTGTACGTGTGTCACTGTGTGTGTGTAACAGTGTGTGTGTGTCACTGTGTGTGTGTCACTGTGTGTGTGTGTGTAACAGTGTGTGTGTGTGTGTGTAACAGTGTGTGTGTGTGTGTGACAGTGTGTGTGTGTGTGTGACAGTGTGTGTGTGTGTAACAGTGTGTGTATGTGTGTGTCACTGTGTGTGTGTGTCACTGTGTGTGTGTGTGTAACAGTGTGTGTGTGTGTGTGACAGTGTGTGTGTGTGAGTAACAGTGTGTGTGTGTGTGTGACAGTGTGTGTGTGTGTAACAGTGTGTGTGTGTGTCACTGTGTGTGTGTGAGTAACAGTGTGTGTGTGTGACAGTGTGTGTGTGTGACAGTGTGGGTGTGTGACTGTGTGTGTGTGTGTGTGACAGTGTGTGTGTGTGTGACAGTGTGTGAGTGACAGTGTGGGTGTGTGACTGTGTGTGTGTGCGTGTGTCACTGTGTGTGTGTGACAGTGTGTGACTGTGTGTGTGACAGTGTGTGTGTGTGACTGTGTCACACACACACACTGCCTACGATCCATCCTGGGTTTAACCTGCAGGCTGGATTGTGTGAGGAGCTCACAAATCCTTGAAAGATCTGGGCAAAGTCCCATCGGTGAGCTCCTCCGGCAGGCAAGGCTGCGTTGGCTGGGTGATGTAGCCCGCATGCCCAGCCACCGCATGCCTGAACAGCTTTTGTTCGGCCGGATCGAGGGGGCTAAACGGGCGCGGCACGGGCTAGAGAAGAGATGGAGTGATGTGGTACAGGAGGACGTGGAGCTGAGTGGACTTGCCGATGACTGGTACCAGCGGTGTCAAGATCGGCCTCTGTGTATCTAGATCTCTGAATCTCTCCTGCGTACCTCTGAATCTGTGGCTCTCTGTAAATATCTCCGTGCGTATCTCTGCATCTTACTTGATGTGTGCACCTCTGTGCCTGTCCCGTTGTGCGTGTCTCTCTGTGCAGATGTGAAATCGGCGTGGAAAAGTCTCCATCAGGATGTGGAGTTGAGTCCTGGTGAGCAGAGGTCGCAACCGGGTACCCGATACCCGATACCCGCACCCTACCCGATACCCTACCCGATACCTGTACCCTACCCGATACCCATACCCTACCCGATACCCGCACCCTACCCGATACCCGTACCCTACCCGATACCCGTACCCTACCCGATACCTGTACCCTACCCGATACCCATACCCTACCCGATACCCGCACCCTACCCGATAACCGTACCCTACACGATACCCCTACCCTACCCGATACCCGTACCCTACCCGATACCCGCACCCTACCCGATACCCGTACCCTACCCGATACTGGTACCCTACCCGATACCCGTACCCTACCCGATACCCCTACCCTACCCGATACCCGTACCCTACCCGATACTGGTACCCTACCCGATACCCGTACCCTACCCGATACCCCTACCCTACCCGATACTCGTACCCTACCCGATACTCGTACCCTACCCGATACCCCTACCCTACCCGATACCCGTACCCTACCCGATACTGGTACCCTACCCGATACCCGTACCCTACCCGATACCCCTACCCTACCCGATACCCGTACCCTACCCGATACTGGTACCCTACCCGATACCCGTACCCTACCCGATACCCCTACCCTACCCGATACTCGTACCCTACCCGATACTCGTACCCTACCCGATACCCGCACCCTACCCGATACCCGTACCCTACCCGATACCCCTACCCGTACCCGGGTACGGGTAGGGGTAGGGTACGGGTAGACCGTGAGTCACTGGTGAGTCACCGTGTGTCACTCATTTCCCAACGTCTTGTCTCTTCTCACAATTCAAGTTCCTAGAATCAACCCACCCGCGCCTGCAACATGGCTTCATCTTAGAGGTCGCAATCAGGTACCCGATACCCGTACCCTACCCGTACCCGGCCGGGTACGGGTAGCCGGGTATCGGGTAGGGTACGGGTATCGGGTACCTGATTGCGACCTTGGTGCGGCTGGGTACGGGTACATGTACGGGTAGACCGTGAGTCACCGTTTGTCACTCATTTCGGGTAGGGTACGGGTAGGGAACGGGTACGGGTAGGGTACGGGTAGGGTACGGGTAGGGTACGGGTAGGGTACGGGTACGGGTAGGGTACGGGTACGGGTAGGGAACGGGTACGGGTAGGGTACGGGTAGGGTACGGGTAGGGTACGGGTAGGGTACGGGTAGGGTACGGGTAGGGTACGGGTAGGGTACGGGTAGGGTACGGGTACGGGTACGGGTAGGGTACGGGTAGGGAACGGGTAGGGTACGGGTACTAGGCTCTGAGAAAAGCTGTCTCGGGTGTGGACCAATCAACTTCAAGGACAGTGCACATACATTATCAGAGTTGTGTCTTTTGTTTGTATTACGACTGCAGGTATTGTGGTCTATGCAAACATGACTCCTCGTAAAAAAGGTGTCAGTTTTGTTGCCAGATAGAAGGGTTAAAAACCAATTATCATATTTTTTACTGGCAAATGAGGTTCCAATGGTGTAAATGCTTCACCTCGAGCTCTCATACTATGATGGTGCATTGTCTTTGAGTTGTGCGCCTTTTGGCGTCATCTGGTCCAACACCAATGGAGACTAGGCTCTAAGGAAAGCTGTCTCGGGTGTGGACCAATCAACTTCAAGGACAGTGCACGTACATTATCAGAGTTGTGTGTTTACACAATTGGAACCTCATTTGCCAGTAAAAAATATGATAATTGTTTTTTTACCCTTCTATCTGGCAACAAAACTGACACCTTTTTTACAAGGAGTCATGTTTGCATAGACCGCATACATTGGTATATGTGTGTGCGTGTGTTGAGCGTGGTTGAGCATGGTTGAGTGTTGGTGGTGGAGTGTGGTGGAGTGGTGGAGTGTGGTTGAGTGATCGTGTAGCCCCTAAACTTTTAAAATAGCTCTTCAGGGATTAAGAGTTACCAGCACAGACAGCTGAGTGTGTCTGTGTGAGTGTGTGCGTGTGTGAGTGTGTGTGTGTGTGTGTGTGTGTGAGTGTGTGAGTGTGTGAGTGTGTGAGTGTGTGCGTGTGTGAGTGTGTGCGTGTGTGAGTGTGTGTGTGAGTGTGTGAGTGTGTGCGTGTGTGTGTGAGTGTGTGAGTGTGTGCGTGTGTGCGTGTGTGTGTGAGTGTGTGAGTGTGTGCGTGTGTGCGTGTGTGTGTGAGTGTGTGAGTGTGTGAGTGTGTGTGAGTGTGTGAGTTTGTGTGAGTGTGTGCGTGTGTGAGTGTGTGTGTGAGTGTGTGTGTGAGTGTGTGTGTGAGAGTGTGAGTGTGTGTGTGTGTGAGTGGGTGTGTGTGAGTTTGTGTGAGTGTGTGCGTGTGTGAGTGTGTGCGTGTGAGTGCGTGTGAGTGTGTGTGAGTGTGTGTGAGTGTGCGTGCGTGTGTGTGTGTGAGTGTGTGTGTGAGTGTGTGTGTGAGTGTGTGCGTATGTGTGTGTGAGTGTGTGAGTTTGTGTGAGTGTGTGCGTGAGTGTGTGTGTGTGCGTGTGTGTGTGTGAGTGTGTGAGTGTGTGAGTGTGTGAGTGTGGGTGAGTGTGTGTGTGCGTGTGTGTGTGCGTGTGTGTGTGCGTGTGTGTGAGTGTGTGGGTGAGTGTGTGTGTGAGTGTGTGTGAGTGTGTGGGTGAGTGTGTGTGTGAGTGTGTGTGTGAGTGTGTGTGAGTGTTAGTGTGCGCGAGTGTGTGTGTGTGCGTGTGTGACGATTATCTAAACTGGTCCTGGGCCTCCCCTAGGTCGACTCAACCGCAAATGAGTACCTGGGCTGGTGAGTAAACATCGCGACTGGGGAGACAAAGGCGGTCGGGCGTGGTGCTGGCCACCCACCCCCTCGTGTATTGTGCCAGCCTTAATAGGTGCTCGCTAACAGCACTTGCCCAAACAGTCTGCTGAAGGATATACAGTGTATCTGATGATGATTACACACTCACCCAGTCAGCCACTCACTCACCCACTCACTCACCCACTCACTCACCTTCTCACTCAATCACCCACTCATTCACTCACCCACTCTCACTCGCTCACCCACTCACTCACTCACCCACCCACTCACTATCTCACTCACCCACTCACTCACCTACCCACTCACTTCCCCACCCACTCACCCACTCACTCACCCACCCACTCACCTACTCACTCACTCACCTACTCACCCACCCACTCACCCATCCACTCACTCACCTCACTCACTCACTCACTCACCTACTCACTCACCTACTCACTCACCCACCCACTCACTCACCCACTCACTCACTCACTCACCTACTCACTCACCTACTCACTCACCCACCCACTCACTCACCCACTCACTTCCCCACGCATCCACTCATTCACCCACCTACTCACTCATCTACTCACCCACTCACCCACTCACTCACCCACCCACCCACTCACTCACCCACTCACCCACCCACTCACTCACCTACTCACCTACTCACTCGCCTAATCACCCACCCACTCACTCACCTACTCACCCACTCACCCACTCACTCACCTACTCACCCACCCACTCACTCACCCACCCACTCACTTCCCCACGCATCCACTCATTCACCCACCTACTCACTCATCTACTCACCCACTCACGCACCCACTCACTCACCCACTCACTTCCCCACGCATCCACTCACTCACCCACTCACTCACCCACTCACCCACCCACTCACCCACTCACCCACTCACCCACTCACCCACTCACTCACCTTCTCACTCAATCACCCCATCCCTGAGCCCGATCTCTGACATGGCTGCGATGGATGATGATGTGAGAATTTAGAATTTTGAGGAGAGACATTCCTGCCAAGAGCTTGGCCACTCGGGTGACCGGGAGAGAGGGGGGGGGGGGTAGAGGGAGGGGGGGATGGTGAAAGGAGAGAGGAGAGGGGTGGATGGGCGAGTTCGAGGGCGAGCTGCCGATGCAGTTGATCGTTTGCAACTCTCAGAGCAGCACAGAGCAATGGATTCAAACGGTTATACACTCACCTACTCACTCACCTACTCACTCACCTACTCACTCACCTACTCGCTCACCTACTCGCTCACCTACTCACTCACCTACTCACTCGCCTACTCGCTCACCTACTCACTCACCTACTCACTCACCTACTCACTCACCTACTCACTCACCTACTCACCTACTCACTCACCTACTCACTCACCTACTCACCTACTCACTCACCTACTCACTCACTCACTCACCTACTCACTCACCTACTCGCTCACACACTCACCTACTCGCTCACTCACCTACTCGCTCACACACTCACTCACCTACTCACCTACTCACTCACCTACTCACTCACCTACTCACTCACCTACTCACTCACTCACCTACTCACTCACCTACTCACTCACCTACTCACTCACTCACCTACTCACTCACCTACTCACTCACCTACTCACTCACCTACTCACTCACCTACTCACTCACCTACTCACTCACGTACTCACTCACCTACTCACTCACCTACTCACTCACCTACTCACTCACCTACTCACTCACCTACTCACTCACCTACTCACCTACTCACTCACCTACTCACTCACCTACTCACCTACTCACTCACCTACTCACTCACTCACTCACCTACTCACTCACTTACTCGCTCACAAACTCACCTACTCGCTCACACACTCACTCACCTACTCACCTACTCACTCACCTACTCACTCACCTACTCACTCACCTACTCACTCACTCACCTACTCACTCACCTACTCACTCACCTACTCACTCACTCACCTACTCACTCACCTACTCACTCACCTACTCACTCACCTACTCACTCACCTACTCACTCACCTACTCACTCACGTACTCACTCACCTACTCACTCACCTACTCACTCACCTACTCGCTCACCTACTCACTCACCTACTCACCTACTCACTCACCTACTCACTCACTCACTCACCTACTCACTCACCTACTCACTCACCTACTCACTCACCTACTCGCTCACACACTCACCTACTCGCTCACACACTCACTCACCTACTCACCTACTCACTCATCTACTCACTCACCTACTCACTCACTCACCTACTCACTTACCTACTCGCTCACTCACCTACTCACTCACCTACTCACTCACTCACACACCCACTCACACTCACTCACACACTCACTCTCACACTCACTCACCTACTCACTCACCTACTCGCACACTCACTCACCCTCCCTCTCACTCACCTACTCACTCACTCACTCACCTACTCACTCACACACTCACTCACCTACTCACTCACCTACTCACTCACCTACTCACTCACACACTCACTCACCTACTCACTCACACACTCACTCACTCACCTACTCACACACACACTCACTCACCTACTCACTCACCTACTCACTCACCTACTCACTCACACACTCACTCACCTATTCACTCACACACTCACTCACCTAATCACACACACACTCACTCACCTACTCACTCACCTACTCACTCACACACTCACTCACTCACCTACTCACTCACCTACTCACTCACTCACCTACTCACTCACCTACTCACTCACCTACTCACTCACCTACTCACTCACTCACCTACTCACTCACTCACACACTCACTCACACACTCACGTACTCACTCACCTACTCACTCACCCTCTCACTCACTCACCTACTCACTCACCTACTCACTCACCTACTCACTCACCTACTCACTTACCCACTCACTCACCTCTCCCTCACCCACTCACTCGGTCACTCACACGCTCACTCACTCATTTTCCCACACTCACTCACCCACTCACTCACACGCTCGCTCACTCACCCTCTCACCCAACCCCTCACGCGCTAATTCACTCACTTGGTCACTCACACGCTCACTCACTTTCACTCACTCACCCACTCATTTTCTCTCACTCACACTCACTCACACTCACTCACACTCACCCACTCACTCACTCTCACTCACCCACTCACCCACCCTCTCTCTTGAGTGTGAGTGGGTGAGCAGGTGAGTAGATGAGTGAGTGAGCGAATGGGTAGATGAGTGAGTATGTGAGTGGGTGAGTGAGTAGGTGAGTGAGTAAGTAGGTGAGTGAGTAGGTGAGTGAGTGGGTGAGTGAGTGGGTGAGTGAATGACTAGATGAGTGAGTGAGCGGGTGAGTGAGTGAGTAGGTGAGTGAGTGAGTAGATGAGTGAGCGGGTGAGTGACTAGATGAATGAGTGGGTGGGTGAGTGGGTGAGTGGGTGAGTGAGTGGGTGAGTGAGTGGGTGAGTGAGTGACTAGATGAGTGAGTGAGCGGGTGAGTGAGTGAGTAGGTGAGTGAGTGACTAGATGAATGAGTAGGTGAGTGAGTGAGTAGGTGAGTGAGTGGGTGAGTGAGTAGGTGAGTGAGTGGGTGAGTGGGTGAGTGAGTAGGTGAGTGAGTGAGTAGGTGAGTGAGTAGGTGAGTGAGTGGGTGAGTGAGTGACTAGATGAGCGAGTGAGTGAGTGAGTAGGTGAGTGAGTGGGTGAGTGAGTGAGTGGGTGAGTGGGTGAGTGAGTGGGTGAGTGGGTGAGTGAGTGGGTGGGTGAGTGAGGAGCGAGTGTGTGAGTCCCAGTGCCCATCTGTCCCGTGCGAGGGGAATGTGGGTGAGTGAGTGAGTAGTTGAGTGAGTGAGTAGGTGAATGAGTGAGTACGTGAGCGAGTGAGTGAGTAGGTGAGTGAGTGGGTGAGTGAGTAGGTGAGTGAGTGAGTAGGTGAGTGAGTAGGTGAGTGAGTAGATGAGCGAGTGCGTAGATGAGTGAGTGAGCAGGTGAATGAGTGAGTGAGTAGGTGAGTGAGTGGGTGAGTGAGTGAGTGAGTAGGTGAGTGAGTAGGTGAGTGAGTGAGTGGGTGAGTGAGTAGGTGAGTGAGTGGGTGAGTGAGTGGGTGAGTGAGTGAGTAGGTGAGTGAGTGAGCGAGTGGGTGAGTGAGTGGGTGAGTAGGTGAGTGAGGAGCGTGTGTGTGAGTGAGTGGGTGGGTGAGTAGGTGAGTGAGTGGGTGAGTGAGTGGGTGAGTGAGTGAGTAGGTGAGTGAGTGAGCGAGTGGGTGAGTGAGTGGGTGAGTAGGTGAGTGAGTGAGTGAGTAGGTGAGTGAGTAGGTGAGTGAGTGAGTGGGTGAGTGAGTAGGTGAGTGAGTGGGTGAGTGAGTAGGTGAGTAGGTGAGTGGGTGAGTGAGTAGGTGAGTGAGTAGGTGAGTGAGTAGGTGAGTAGATGAGTTAGTGGGTGAGTGAGTGGGTGAGTGAGTGAGTAGATGAGTTAGTGGGTGAGTGAGTGGGTGAGTGGGTGAGTAGGTGAGTGAGTGAGTGGGTGAGTGAGTGAGCGAGTGGGTGAGTGAGTGAGTGAGCGAGTGAGTGAGTGAGTGGGTGAGTGAGTGAGCGAGTGTGTGAGACCCAGTGTCCATCTGCCCCGTGCGAGTGGAATGTTGGTGATCAATCACTTCAATGTTCAGGCGAGGATTGAACCTGGCATGGGGCCTGTTCACGGCACACAGCCCTTACCGCTGAGATGGGCTGAGTGTGTGTGTGAGGGTGGGTGGGTTGTGTGCACACACACACACGCATGTGTGTACACACAACCCACCCACCCTCGCACAGACTCAGTTCACCTACTCACTTACTCGACTCATTCGCTCACTCATCTACTCATTCATTCACTCACTCACTCACCTGCTCACTCATCTACTCATTCACTCACTCACTCGACTCATTCGCTCACTAACCTACTCACTCATCTACTCATTCACTCACTCACCTGCTCACTCACCTACTCATTCACTCACTCACCTACT